TTACATTTTATAGACTGAGAATCTAGATTGGATCCAATGTTTTAATAGAGTTTGTTAGCACATAATAATTTACGATATTATGTAAAAATCAAATTCAATTATTTCAGTTTAATATTTCGTAACCTTCATGAACTTGGCATGATAAATTAAATCAAGGGTGGATAAGGGGGAGGGAGGGAGGGGGGGGGGGTGAATCGAGTGGCTTTTCCATTATTCCCATTATTATCATATTTATCAACTCCGAAGGGTGATGACTAGTCACTCAAAATAAATAATCAACAAAAAAATAATAATAATAAGATAAATAAACGATAAGGCAAAAGGACTGGTCTGTGGCGAATCATGAGGGTCTGGGTACGAGCGCTCTCATTGGTCAATTTCGATCAATTTGAGATTGTTGTGTCGTTCTTGTCAGCCATGTTTTCTGTTCGTAAGGGAAAGAAGAAATTTGTGCAAAAAGAGACATGTAAATTCTAAGTTTTGTATTCCATTGTACAACATGTATGTTCTCAGTGGTTTGAATACGTAGCTTACGAAGACTGAGGCGTTTTAGTGTGATTTTTGTGGATTTAGCGGATATTGAATTTTGCGGAGCGTTGTTCGACATGACGAACAAACAAGATCCAAGATGACTGCCTACGATATTGCATAGCGATTGTACTCGTAAACCTGTATTCCGCAGAACATAATATATAGGCTAAGCCACACAGAAATTGTTGAATGACGTACTTTACATGGTCATATCGAGATTCAGGGTGCATGTTCAGAGAACGGCTTCTCGAAAAATTTTGATCAGTGAATGAAGCAGATGAAGAAAGAAATTATCAAAACTTCTTGATTCAAATATATTGCGGATTATAATCCCAAAAGGAGAACAAAAACTTTTCACATCACTATCGCAAGATTGTCAAGGACTTTTTCGATAAATTTTCGTCGAAACTGAAGCCATATCTGTGTTATGAAACAAAAATGGGATATTTTACTTCACTTGTGGCACGTGGTTTACGTCGTAAACCAAACATCAATTTCACAAGGCTATAATCGGAAAAAAGGGCAAAAGTTTTTGTGCTTATTATGAAAACTAGAATATACCCTACCTAAGCCACGAAGGACTGACTGGTAGTACTTATTAGGACTGGATAGAAGAGTTCTGACCTTCAGGTAAGCTGGAAAATTTTGTGAAAGTTTTGAGTTTGAAAACGCATGATGTGTATACTTAACATTGCTATTTAATTGTATAATTGACATACATGTGTCTAAAATCATTGATACACGTAAAGATTGCACGAATCTTGTTGTATAATAGTGTACATATTTTCAATAATCTTACTATTTACAGTTTTAATCACTACAATGTATTTACAATAATTTGAACTGCATTGTTCATACATGAGATATAATAAATTGTTCAAAAATACAGTGGTTTCACTCTGACACTTTGTCAATTTTAAGTTTAGGAAGTGAGCCCCTTTGTTCTTTGTTGTGCTTGGTTTTTACTGCCAATTCTCCAAAATAATGCACAACCTTCTCTTGCTTTTCAGATAAACCTGGTCCAATATCACTGTAATCTTCAGTATCTTCATCACTGTCTTGTTCATCATCTGCTGACGTACCTGATTTGGGAACATATTCTTTAGTGAATGTCAACTTGGCTTTTTCACAAACTGTAGTTGTCAATTCTCGTAACAGAAAAGTGCAAATTGTACAGCTTCCAGATTTCTTGCATAACTTGTGGACAATGTGACTGCATGGTAATCGAATGGATTCTTGATCAGGAAGTATGAAATTCTTGCAACAGTGGCGAAACATCCTTAGAGACGGTGATGTGTCTTCTCGTGTACACCCTTGACAACTTGTAATTTTCATCTGTTTCTGTGCTGGCGTCAAACTGTCATTCAAGCGCTCCAATAAAACTGCTTTTGTGCCAATAGTGTTGAGGTTATACATGCTGCATAGAGATTTCAGCTCTTCTTTATATAATGCTTTCAATTGTATGCTTCCAAGATTAGGGACAAGGCAAAGCTGATGAAACATGTGGCCACATTTTAATCTGATGCGGCTTTTGTACTCGATGGAACCATCTAACAGGCCTTCACAAATAGAACAAACAACAGCACAAGATGGAAGAGAACATGGCAATGGGAAAAGATTTGCTGGAACAAGCCCAAAGACTTTGGTCTGATATGACAGCAGGCCTGTGGTTTTGTCAAAAGTTGCTGCTTCTTCAAGTGGAATCCCTTCCTCTCCTAAACACTTATTGAAAAGTATTTTCAGGAATGATGTTGCATCTTCCACAAGAGCAAAGAACTTTGGTCCCGTGCTAGGCATTAGGTTATGGGTGTAGCAGTCGAGGGGACGAACTTTATACACATCATGGATTGATGGAACTTCCTCTTCCATCAAGTCAACTGTAATGGCACTGCTTTGAACTTGTTCTTCAGTATCATGTGGTTTGGTATGTGCAGATAACACTAGAATAATTTTTTATAAAAACTACATTAGGAGGACATAGTAAGATGTCTAATACGATATGTATATATATTCCACTTGTAGTAAGTGAATTAACAATAGAAAATAGTTTTTATAAAGAAAGTTCACACGTGTGGATATCTTTTCAAGTGTGCAGACATCCACCTGTATTCCACCCTAGAATGTCTAATAAGTTATTTATTTATCCAACTAATTTAATTTTTCATAAAAGAAGACTGAGTAAAAGGTTTTTCTTTGTGTGACATTTTACGTGACTCAAACTAGTTTTCAAAAACTGTTTTTTTACTGTACAAAATAACCGAGAGTGAAAATACCGTAGCATCTTTGTACTCGCTCCAGTCTTTCTCTTGTGATATTTTTACTCTACTGATTATAGCTGGATAATAAATACTGGTACCATTGCAAGTATTATACCTGAGAAAAACAATTCACAGACAACTTCAGAAAACTCTGGCATCATCTTAAAAAACTCTGTGAGCATGGGATGATTTGTGTCTTGCCAGTATTTCAGGTGGGAAAGGAATACCATACAGGCATCTCTGTAGTAGTGTTTACCCAAACAAGCAAACATTATTTCTAGCTGTAGAAGTGGGATAAGCTGGGATAATATCCAGAGGTAGACCTAGATATTCCTCAAACAAGTTGACCAACATTTGTACTGCAGGTGTCCACTTTCTTTATTTACCAGCATGTGAAAAAGAAATTGAGAGTTAAAAAGTGAGAGAGTTATAAATTTAAGTTGAAATATCCATAAAGGGAATGTTAAGGAATCTGTACTACATTGGGATAAGAGTAGGAAATTGTCTATACCAATCAGGCTCACAACCTCTATATCRTGCCTCAGTCCCTGTTTGTTTCAACACTCAGTGTATCATGTGATCTGTATATAGGTGGTTACTACTGGTTACCTGTTTGGATGCTGTTAAATGTTGGCCAGTGTTTCATTTCTGATCAGTGCCCAGGCCTCTCGCAAAAGGTTAAGATAAAATGTCTGCCTCCCAAAGCGACAGTTTGGTCTACAGGAGTGTAAAAATAGTGTACACAATCACTAAGCGATAACACATTGCTAGAGAAACACTAAAAGCATNTTGTTTCAGGGTTTGATCTGTGAGTTAGCTGTGCCCTGATCGACTTAGATCAGCCCAGAGGTTGTTTCAGGGTTTGATAAAAAATAAAGATTTTCTTTATACTTCTCTTTTCAGCTGATACTGCTCTGTTAAATTCTTTCTCGCGATCAAGGAATAATGATGGCACCACAGAAGATAAAGGCGATGGAAGTATGTCAAGGACTCACTCAGGTAAAAATGTGATAGTTTGACCCTCGTCCTCACATGCTTGCTTTAAGGAGCAAGTGTGGCTTGGTTGGTTAGTGTGCTGCCTGCTAAGCAAGAGGTCCATTGTTTGATCCTCAGTCACCTCACACACTTGTTTTAAGGAGCAAGTGTGGTTGGTTGGTTAATGTGCTGCCTGCTAAGCAAGAGGTCCATAGTTTGATCCTCAGTGACCTCACACACTTGTTTTAAGGAGCAAGTGTGGCTTGGTTGGTTAGTGTACTGCCTGCTAAGCAAGAGGTCCATAGGTCCATAGCCACTTGATCTGACATGGGAAAATATTGTAAACAAGCTGAAATGGTCTATTGCTTTTCATTCCCAACTCTCTTTTTATTTCATGTTCACTTAAAAAGTAAAAGCTTTTTCACAAGTATGAGAGGCTAGTCAGTCCAGTGCTTAAAATAACGGCCAATCAGCTGTCAATCATGATCATGGCCCATATATTAGTTTTAGCTTGGTCAGACCTCATTTCAGGCTAAACAATACTCTGGTGAAAATGGCCGACAAGGCAAACATTTGAAAGGGCAGTCCCAATGTTTTTTTTTTTAAGCCCTGCAGTTTAGAACMATAGTTATTCAAATGAGTTATGCCATATTTGAGTTCAAAGTTTACATCTCCATGTTATGAGGCTATATAGCCCAAATTCCGAGATTTGATTTCTTTTGTATTTTTCTGTTACTCTCACTTTTACATGGTGTTGAGAGTGGTGTAATAGACTGTTAGCATGATGGCATCATTTTACCATCACTACCAAAGTGCTTCACAAAGTTTCTTTCTTATTCAAATTTGTATTTCCTCATGAGAAAAGTAAGACAATTGGTGCTAATTAACTGAGCAAAAGGAAGTGTGCAAGGGATTCTGGTAGTGATAGTAAATGATGCTATTTATGCAAGAGACCTGTACTGTACTCTTAGATTTGGGCCTCATCAACACACATCTGGATATTTAAAAAAAATTCCTAAATTGAGGATTGGGCCAAACAAAAAAATAAGTGTGTTTCCTGTTGTGCGAATGACCCTAAAAGAAAGTGTGCAAGGGAGTCTGGTAGTGGTAGTAAATGATGTTATAATGCAAGAGACCTGTACTCTTAGATTTGGGCCTCATCCACACACATCTGGATATTTTTTAAAAAAATTCCTAAATTGAAGATTGGGCCAAACAAAAAAATAAGTGTGTTTCCTGTTGTGTGACCGACCCTAATTTTCTTGCTTATTTTTGCCGACCCTAATATTTTTTTCATTCCCAAATGCACCACAGGGTTCTCCAGTAAGCTCATTTCCTGTGGTATCAGTAAAACAAATCGGACCTACCGACCCCAATTATTTTCCTCATGCAACAGGAAACACACTTATTTTTTTGTTTAATCTTGGCCTTCCATTCACACATATCCGTTGAATGCGCCACTTAATTGATAACACAAATTTTTGAAACCTGGTTGTTGTGGAAAGGTGAAGAGAATTCAAAAACACTAGATATGGAAAACAATTTTTCGATAATGTATGGATATGTGTAGACGGCACCACACCTTAAACTATACAAATTAAGAGGAATTTTTTTTCAATAATGGTAAAAGGCGCCAAAAACTAGACTTTCATATGAATTTTGATCCCATTTTCGTTTTGGGTTAACACTCAAAGCCTTTTTCAAACAGTTAGAAACTGATGTACTACGATAAAATGCCTGTTTGAAGC